GGGCTTTAGGTGGCAGCTCCCCGTGGGGTTTGTACAGGACCTGGCATGCTGGGATCCCTGTCTCACTTGGTTTCTTTTAGGCATTGCTGTAATATAAACCAGCTGCACTAATATTTTAGCTGTAGGGAGAAATGTACTGGTTTGATGTGTGCTGTGCAGAAGAAAGAGAAAGCTACTGCCCCTAGCCCAAAAATGTGAGTAGCATAGCAAATATGTTAGTGATCTCCCAGAAATGTTAAATGAGATGGGCTCTGCCGCTGCCTTCGTTGCACTGTGGGCTTTTAAGAGATTCTCTTATTTCAGACTGATGTGCTGGGGAGAGCTGGTGAACCCTGAAAATGAGGCAGAGTCCTGGTGATGAGTTTTAGAGCGTGATTTTTCAAGGGGGGCATGTTATGAAAGGAGAGGATAAATGTTGTGCATGATCTGTAAGAGCCAAAGCACTGCAGCTCCATGGCAGGGCTTTGCAGAAAGAGGATGGAAAGGAGTAAATAACCTGTAGAATAAACARTGCAGTGTGGGGTGTGCATGGCTTTCCTGACACAGGGGTCCTGCAATGGGGATGGAATGGGGATAGAATGGGGCTGTGAGCTCTGCTGGCCTTGCCAGGGGACACAGGGCTGGCCAGAAGCAGCAGCAGCTTTCCAGGGAGAGCTGGGACCCACAGCTGACACTGCAGCACCCTTTGGCCAGCCTAATGCAAACTTTGGACTTGAATCTCTTCCCTTGAAAGCCAAACACGAGGGTAAGGAGTGCCCTGATCTGTCTGGAGGAGTCCTGAAGGGCAAATAGCACGAGAAGGGGAAGAGCTGGGTGCAGAAGCAGGTTTGTAAACACCAGGGTGTGCTGGGGAGAATATATCCTATGAGTTTCGTTCTCCATCTGACATCTCCAAAATGCTGCTGGTGTCCTTCAGGTCTCTCCTGAACATCTCCTGGCCAAGACCACTGGTGGGATTATTTCTTCTTTTGGTCCCAGATGCCTGGTTGGCAGTTAGGGGAGGTTTGTCTCAGCCTCCCCACGGAAATGGGGTCTCAAAGCCCTGTTTAGGTGGGTTCCTGAGGCCACTGAAGCGAGGTGAATGTGCATCTCCTGCTCAGTGCATGGCCAAGCATTGGGATAGCACCCACTCTTGGCTGTGGGGAATGCAAACAGCTGAGAAGTTTTTCCAGGTTTCCATGCCTGAGTTTTCCCAGCTCTGGAGTGAACACTTGGACCAGATCAGACTGGGATATCCATTTGTGATCTATATTCTTTGTTTCTATCTTGTATTCTTTGTTTCTGTCTCTCCTACCCATGCACAGCTGTGCTCAAACCGGTTTCTCAGAGCAATGARGAAACACCAGACCCTTTTTTWTWTWTTWTTTTTTTWSCTCTGGGAAGGAAAGCTCAGAAGAGCATCTTTGACCACAGTGACAGAAGCTGCTATTTTGTGAGAGCCCACAAATTTGTCCAAATTTYTCCAGCACTGTTCCAAGCAACCAGAGATGCTGGAAGATGCTCAGGTGCCCTGCCCTGGCACAGCCCAGTAATGGAGCTGTTATCCTGGAATTTCTCAAACCTGTTTTTGAAGCAGTTTTGTACCTGCTGCCAGTTCACTGCCTGCTGAGGAGCTTCACAGCATGTGAATAGAGAGTATTTTCAATAAAAGGTGTTTGGGAGTGGGATCTTCTGGGGTCTCTTACCAGCAATGACCAGCAATGCAGGATGAAGTCTCTCAGTCTCTGCTCTGGTTTGCATRAAAAAAAAACCTGCATAAAGTTCTAGCACATCTTTAATGGAAATGAAATGATAAAATTGGGATAATACCTACCTCATGCTGCTCTTGAGGGTTAATTAATGTTTACAAAATCACTTTAGGTCCCGAGATTTAATTGAAGGAAAAATATTACCATATAAAATAGCTTTTTATGCAGGYACTGCTATAGGGTTTCAGCTGGGCAGAGTGCCGTGGCAGCCAGCATTAGCACATGTTTTACTGCATTTATGGTTGTGGGGCTTCCTGTAGTTTATATGAAAATTGTCTCTCTGAAATCACAAATGAAACATCAGTGTTTTCCTCTCGCCTTGAAAGAATATTAATTTGCCATCTTAGGACTTGCCTGACTATTTAAGCTGCAGTAAACACAATTGTCCTTTGAGAAAAAGAGAATGGAATATCTGTTCCCTTGCTTGGGACAAGCTGATACAACTTGCTAATGGCTCCACCTTTGGATCCCATGGACTTGGCAGGCTCACAGGARCAATAAATCAGGCTGTACTGGGTGTCCTGCTGTAGTGTAAGGGTGTAKTTGGGTCTTCATTATAATCTCCTGCTATTGAGAGATTTTAAATACAGCTATAAAAGTTCATTTCTGAAGTTAAATTTAAATGTGGAAGTACCAGCCAGGGAGCAAGTTCTGTTAAGTGGGGTGTTTCTGTGGGGTTTTTTTCTGGTTTGGTTTTTGTTTGTTTGGTTGCTGTTTCTTTGCCTTGTTTTGTTTTGCTTTTTTAATGGAGTAGCAAGAGAAGGAGAAACAGCACTGGTTTTGGCTGCCTTCAGCTGTTGGAATAAAACCTTGTCAGTGCACAAATGTCACCTTATTTTCTGCTATAACATTTTTACTTTTCACACAGAAYGGTGCAGGTTGGGTGCCTTCAGAGGTTGAATCAGTTGCTCAAGGCAATTCTGTTTTTTCTTTTTCCTGCCACCCAGGGTGACTACGACCCCAGCAGGACCAAAGTTCTCCATTTCAGCATGAACCCCACGAGTYTGGCCAAGCAGCAGCGCAAGGAGGAGCAGCAGCAGCTGCAGGAGGAGTGTGAGAGGCTGCGGGAGCTCGTCAGGGTGCTCGAAGGAGGAGGCTCCATCTCTGCCACTCGGGAAGGAGTTGGGAGCTTTCAGTCCCCACAAGAAGTTGCAGGTAGGCTGCTGGTTTCTGCTCCTGGAGGTGGATTTATTCATCCACGCTGCCAGAGGAGCTGACTGCAGAGGCAGATGGAGATGGTGCAGACAGTGTGCTTGATGGAGTGSTTATAAGGAGAGTGAAAAAAGCTGGGTTGATGCAGGACAGAGTGAATGGGTGGTGGCAATGCTGTGGCAGTCTGGTAGAGGGTGGGTGGTGAGGCTAAATAATAATAATTCATATCATTTGCTGATGATAAATGAAATACCAATACAACAGCCTCCATAGGCTGGCGCTGCCGACAGAGTGAAAGGAAATATTTTCTTCCTTTCAGGGCTGGTTTAGCCCTTGAGGTAGAACAGACAGCAGGAAATAACTTTCATAGCTGCAGGGAAGCAAGTGGTTGAAATCTTTTCAGACCTGGCTTAAAACAAATTAATATTGTTTATCAGCGTATATGTGCCCCATTAATCACAGCTACATTCAATACTCCATGAAAGCAGAGTACATCTTTCATGGAGCTAAATATGTTCCACACAATCTGTGGCACTCCAGGACAGCCTGTCTTGCCTGCACATGCCTGAGTGTGACGTTTTTGGTAAAGAAATCCCAAAAATCAACACCTGCAGACGTTTTCTCAGACTCTGTAAATCCAGGATGTCAATAAAGCCTGACCCATCACCTGCAGAGCTGCGAGGGACCAGGCAGAATCGAGTTGAGCTGGAGAGCCCRGGAGAAGTTACTGCTGTAACTCTCTCATGGCCTCAAAACAATTTGTTAGAGAAGGGAAAAATAAAAGAGAACTGAGGGTCTGTGTGGAGCTAAGCAGGTGTGTTCCAAGGGCAGTGTCTGGAGGTCAGGATCCTCCCTCTSATGAAGCTGGCAGAGCTTTTGCTTTTCCCAAATGTCAATGAGTGCTGGAGATTCAAACCCACACAAGGGCAGAGCCCTGGTGTAAAGAAAATGCACAGAAGRAAACATCTTTCACTGTTATGAAACCAAAATTCTCAGCGAGTAGCTGGTCTGTTTGCCCATCGCTCAAACAATGGCACTTTATTACTGCTGAGAATGTGTTTGTTCCAGCATCTCATAGTGGATTATGGTACTATATGGCCTTAAAATATGATGGTGAGAAGTGCAGATGGGGTGTTTTGTAAAGTGAAGAGCTCACTGGATGTTGCAGGTRAGTGACAGCTCTGTCACTGCTCTTGGTGGATTTTCTAACAGATGCATAAGCACGAAACACTTGGCAAAAATTTAAAAACACCATTGTCTGTAGGAGCTTCCAGTCTCAGACCCCACTGAGCAGTTCTGGGGGACAGTTCTTGTGTTGCAGTTTGAGTTTGAGATGTGCTGGGTTTTGGGGGTTTGAATTGCAGTCATTTGAATTGCATTGCAGTTTGAGTTTGAGATGCACTGCGTTTTAGGGGTTTGAATTATCTGCTGCCCCAGTGCCCTTGTGTGTCCTTCTGTCCCCAAATACCAGGCACATCTGATGCTGCAGGTCCAGGGGGCTGACAGTGCCCAGAGAGGCTGCAGAGGTGAGGTCAGCCCCATCTCTCTGTCACTGATGAATTTACCTCTGGGCTATCATCTGCAGTAATTAGACCATCTCTTCTGGGGGAATGTGTTCCTCACGTGTGCCTCCTGTGATGTGTTAGTCACAATTTTTATCATTCTGCTGCCTCTTTGTGCTAGGATGTTACCAGGTTTGTCATTAGCTCAGAAGGGATGCATTTTCCTGATTCCARCAGGAAAACAAACAGCTCACTGGGTTTCAGGGTATTTCCAGCCTCATATATGTGACAGGTTTTTTTTTTTTTTCCTCTTACCCCAGTCCCAAACTACATCATTCAGGCTTCTGGTGACCAGCTCAGATGGAAGAGAGCATCAGGTTCTGAACGTAAAAGGGTGGGAAGTACTTCAGTGTCATTTACCACAGTCACAGGAGGGCTCTTTGGATTTTCAGAGTGCCTATAAGTGCATCTGGAAGTGGTTCTTGTAAACAAAATGGGAAAAAGCTGTTGTTGAAGGATGGAGCAGCCTTGTGGATGACTCTCTCTGAGGACAGGGTGAAGCTATAGGGAGCCAGGTTATATGGAAAGATCTTGAGCTTTTTTTCTTGTGTTTCATGTGCTTGTATGCATCACTGCCATGCACAGGGCAAATTGCCATAAATATCCCTAAACTCTCATTTCTGCTGTGGGAGCATTTCAGCAGCATGGTCAGAGAAGGGGATGTGAGATGTGAAGGGATGCTGAGGGTTTTACAGCACTGACCACAAGGTTACTGGGTTATTCTGGGTTGGCCTTTAAATTAGCCAGGTGAATGCCAGATTTCTTTCTGGAGCAGGGAGAGCTCCTGGTGCGTTTGGGGACAGCTCACCAAGTGTTCTGTGCAAGCTGCATCCATTTCTGCATCTGCAGGCAGCTGTTGAGCAGGATGGTAACAGCATGGATTTGAGGGGCCAGAAAACTCACACTTGTCTCCCTCTGGATAAGACATGGAAAATCCAGCTTTTGCTGTGTTCTTAGCTCTGCCCACAGGAACAGCTGCCACATGCCTTCTTCCTCGGTGTATTTTCAAGGTGTGAAGTGGGGAGCGTGCAGAAACTCCCTCTGCTCTGTTTGTCACAATTGGCTGCCCCAGGGAGGGGGGTTTGTTGTGCATAATAAGGGAGAGGGTTTCAGTGAATTTTGTGAAGCTGTTTCTGTACAAAAAGAACAAGAACTGGAGKTTTTCTTGCACCCCTTTCTGTCAGCTGCAATCCCCATCTGCCTGTTTATCCAGCTCCTTCGTGTGACGCACRCAAGAGGCAAATTCAGCTCTCTGAGCTTTTGAGGTGGGAGGTCCCTGGTGTCAGAGTAGAATGAGGATGAGAAGAGAGAACAAGGACAGAGTAGGAAGAGTGTGGATAAAAGCTGGGAGGACAACAAAGGTCAGATGTAAGTTTGCATTTTGCCTTTAGACAGAGAGAGGTAAATGTAAGATTTTATTGTCCTGCTTTGCCACAGAASCTGACGGGCTGCTTGGCGAGGTGAGGGATTTGGGTGGCCCTCAGCCAGCCAGCTTTGCTGTGTTCAGCAAGCTTATGTGGTCTGCAACAGCCATGCTTGTGCCTCACAGAATTATAATTATACCAACCAAAAAAAGGCATTAAGGACAATGATGTTGATGGTTTTGATAATAATGTATTGGCCATTGTTAAATCCCTTCATCGGGCTGGAGCGCGGCACATTTTTTCTGATCGTATTTCCGACTCCTGCGTAGGTAATAAGAAAATTATTACTGTGGACGTTAAAGCTCATTAAATGTGACTCTATTAAAAATCAAGGTTATGCTGGACTTTAAATCTCTTTGAGCATAACCGCTGGAGGCTGCAGCACAGGCTGGCACTTTGCCACACAGTTCAGTGGTCCTTTCCTTTCGTTTGTGCCATAATAGTCCCTGTTCATATAGGGACCTGTGGAGAGCTGTAACAACACTCTGTCCTATTCCAAAATGCAGCTTTGCAGCAGGGCTGGCAGGGGGGGCAGGGCTGTGGCTGCCACATTTGGGGTGTGGGCTGCAYCTCGGTGGGTGTTGTGTAAGAGCAGGGTGCCCCAAGGTCAGGCACCATCTGGGGAGAGGTTCTGCATCCTCCTGCCTGGGAACAGGGATGCAGATTGTGACAGCTTTGGGAAGGTGGTGCAGGGCATCGCTGTGTGGATTTGAAATCTGTTCCAGTTCTGCTTTTCCCTTTCCCAAGCTCTTCCCACCTTCCCCCTACTGCCCCTTCTGTATTTCAGTCTGCATCTTTTACTTTTTTTCTTTCATTTCCATAACTTCTTCTATTTTTTTTTTCTGTTTCTCTCCGGGCCATTTCTGTTTAGATATTTCTCTTTTTTTTTTTTGTCTTGTGGGATCCTGGTGGATCTCTTGATTTCTGGCACTGTTAGAGATGGATTTGACTTTTAGTTGCAAGCAGCTAATGGGGAGCTGACAGAAGTAATGACTTGTAGCAAAGCATAGATAGAARTGAGAGAGAATGCTTCAAGTGCTCCTTATCTCCATTTGTGTTCTTATCTTGAAGGTGTTGTGTCTGAAGGTAGGAATGGGTGACCCATGGAAGCTGGTTCCTGACTAAAAGAATGCAATAATGYGAATTTTCCATGAGCTCTCATGATTTATTGCTATCCCGTGGCTACWCTGGAGTGTTCCCTTCTTCATGCAGCTTCTCCCTGGGAGAAAGGGGAAAAGTGCTTTTAATATTCTTTCTGGTGAGAGAGAGGCTGGCACCCCTACCAGGAAGGAAGATGGGGAAATCAGCTGATTTCAACCATCTGTGGAGAACTTTGGAACTATTTTCCTGAACATAATCCCACTAAAAAGGATAGCTGTTCATCCATCTCAATGCTTTCAGTGTCCTTTTCCCCTTGTTAGGGAAAAAGTAGGAAAAAGGGGGGTCCTTGGTGAAGGACTGGGGGATTTCACTCTTGGGCAGGTGTTTGGCCCTAACAGAGATGTTGCATCTGGTGTTCAGCAGGGGCTGTCCCCAGCATCAGGGCCATGCCAGGGCCTTGTAAAACATATTTAATTGAATTTAAATTGGGTAATGAATTAATATTAAAATAATCTAATCTTGTTGAAGTGACACGCCAGAGACGGTAAAATTTGTCACTGTCCCAGTGTGCTTGTGCTTGTGATGAATGTGTTTCTGAGTACAGAAGGTGACAAAAAAAGGAGCAGATGGAATTCAGAAGTTGCCATTCCCCATCCGCAGTTGGCTGAGCTGTTGGTGCTTGGAAGCTTTGGTGCTTCCTCCCATCTGTGTAGGGAATCCACACTGATGGGGGCTGCACCTGTGAACCAGACCTGAGTCCCCCTGATGGAGGGTTTTTCTGTGATTTCAGCTGCTGGTGGGTGCACAGGTGGAAGAGCAGCCCCCGTTCCACATTTTGTGCCAGTGGCTCCCAGCATCTCCCTGCTCAGATGGGGTTGGGTCACTGAGTGAACAGAGAGCAGCTCTCCTTCAGTCT